CGCAAAGCTGAACCAGGAAAGGATACGTAGCATCTTAGAGAAATTTCCCTTTGGCTCGATTTTCAGCTTGTGTGATTCTCACATCACCTCCCAGTACCTAAACCTCCTCTATCCAGACACAAGAGCAGCAAACCCTTCCCAATGTAGAAGCAATCAGCTGGTGAGACCTCAGCTGGGAGAGGAGCTTGCTTCCAAGCTCAGGCAATGCCAAGTAGAATCACCTGGGCCTGGAACATGGTAAATTTCCCACTGAGTTCCCCTGCAGGCATAAGCACACCCTGTATGCCTAATCAACTGCAAACATGTCTCGCAGCTAACAAACTTTTGTACTTACAGAATCCACTCCCAGTGCTGTCCAATCCAGCTCAGCGTGTATTCAGGATCAAATTCAGAAGTCACAGCTGACATGATGCAGTTCATAAGGCATCAGTCCAAATCGTGTGAGACTGGACAGATTTCTATAAGCCACTTCTTAACAGATAGCCTTCTTTTCCCCCCCCCTAAAACTGCCTAGCAGTTAACAAAGTTAACTAAGCTACTCCCTCAGGATCCCTGCCCAAGCAGAAGATATGCCGCTCCATGCAGGTACAGGACCAGATCCAGTTCACACCCAGAGACACTTGTCCTAGATCATTGCATCTGGCTGGAAATGCCACTTTAAAAAGGAGCAGAGGTGGAAACATGGAGTCTAGCACCCATAGACTGTCTCATCCTATTCTAAAGGCAATCAATCCTGTCTTTGGGAGAACATCACCCTAAATCAGCTCGAGTGGCCACTGTGGGACAATTAGCAAGAAATCCTGTTTTGCCAGAGTGCTCGTACAACACGTGGTCACATCAACACCAAGTCCTGCTAAAGGCAGTGAACTAAGCAAAACTAATCCTGGAGCATGACTGAATCCAGGTTTCATTACATTAAGCTGCTAACACCTGGGTGTGGACAGACCACTCTGAACTGCAGGATGAAGCACAGGGCTTGAGAGTCACGACTTGTGTGTCAGGGCGGCTTTCCACCTACTCTTATGTCAGCTGAACTACACAGCTCATGGTGCATCCCATAGCGATGGGTCATGATCCAGAAGCCTGTATTTGTCACACTGCTGCAAGTCCAAGCTCCCCATCCTGCTCTGAGACAAGCAGGCTTTGAACTACAGTAACTGTGAGCACTGCATGGCTTACCCCAAGCTGAATAAACATTTGTAAGACATCTTGACTCAGGTGTTTAAATTCAAGAAAAAGTCTGACTTGTTTATCAGCCTGAATCACAGGCAGACAGTGCAGAGTATGGTCACTAAAAGCACTTTTTCAACCAACAACTGCTCACTCACAGCAAACTCAGTGACAGCACTTACGGGTGGTGCTCATAGCGATGCCCACTCGACCCAGAAGAACAGCCAGGCAAGGCAGAGGCAGTCTCCCAAGCTCTGCTTTCCCTCCCGTGTGCTCCAGGCTGTCCCAGAGCAGGGAACGAGGCCACCTTCCCTTCTATCTCCATTCCCAGGAGGAAAGACAGCTGGGAACAAAACCCACCTGGCAGAGTTCCACCCATCCTCCTTGGTGACAAGTCCCTTCTCCTGAACTCATTGTTCTAATTAACCTAGATTTTTGGAGACATACTACAGCAGAGATCACTCTGAGGCTGAAATCCTAGTGCTGCCAAAGCCACTGGCAGAACTGATGTTGACACCAACTGAGCAACAGCTTTATTGATCAATACCATATCTATTAAGCCTCGCATATTAATCACATGTACATAACTAAACGTAAGCAGGATGCTTACCTTGTACTCCTATGGATTAAAGTACTGGCAGCAGCTAACAAGGGGTTGCATTCATACATTGCTAGTGCCAGCACTGTGATGCCTGGGTTCCTATTGCTGAACTGCACTAAAAATTAATTACTCTTTCAGCTAGCTAAAGAAATACATATGGAAATGACTTGTAGACCACTTCCCACTTAGGTGAACTGAGCACGAGTGACTCATAACTTGTCAGAAGGAATTACAAACTGTGCAAGAGGCAAAGTGCTTCGGGGAGAGTAGAGTGTCTAGACTATGCAGAGCAAGGCTGTAAATTATACTTTCTGCAAACGATGGGCTTTAGCAGGGGTTGCATGATCAGATGATTCCTCCCCTCTGTCAGTTCATAACATCTCTGGCCTGAGAGATTGAATAATTGAATCATTGGTCCAGATCAGGAGCTGCAAAGTTTTACAACAGCCGAAGACCAAGCTTCCAGCCTATTTAATTACCTGCTTCCCGATTCAATCAGCTGCAAGCGCATAAATAGCCAAACTATGGCAAATATTTAATATCAGCTAGAATTAAATTAAGATAAGGCACTGGCAAAATAAATGATAAGTGTTTTAACTGAAAATAATCATTTTCTGTGGATTCCAGACAATTTGTTGAGCACAGCACCCGTGTTCTGTTCTGTGCTGCTAAGGAGCAACGAAGGAACGGACAGAAAGCAAGAAAAGTATACCATCTGTTTTCCTCTCCTGGCTGCAAAGCTGCAAACCCCACAGCTCCGAGGGCTCCCTGGGTCCAGCAGAGCAGCTCCCCCAACAAATCTCACCACCACCTGTGACCTGAGTCTCAGCAGTCCCAGGACGACACGTCAGTGGTTCGAAGAGAGTGCAAAAACAGGATGAGAGCAACAACTCAACCCAGGAGAGTGAAGAAATATGTGATTATTTAGAATGCTGTGTTCATTTTACTATGATCCTAACAGTTGCAGCACCTGTACGCGTGCCAAAATGGCAGAAAGGCTATACTTTAAGATGCACTGTCACAGGTTTAAGAGAGTTTGACCCCACACACCTGCTCTGCACTAAGCACACTGCTTGAATCGGTCACTGTTCAGCAGAGCACAAGCTTAAGCTCTTTGCTACTTTGCAAGCACACCTGACACTGCCTGCAGGCTTTCACAAGGACCCAAACAAGCTCCAGTGATATACAGCAAAACTGATATTTCCATCCTGGTCACATTTGCATCACCGACAACAAAACCAATTGGCCTCTCTTCCATCACTGAGATGGAAAAGGAAGCTACAAAGTGGACTCAGCAGCACCGAGTAGCTCAGCAGGATGCAGCGATCTGCTATTTGCAGTGCTATTGGGTTTGCAGCAATACACAAAGTTCTCATTACAAAGACTAAACCCAGCAGAACCTTCCCAACAAAACTCCCTGCTCCGTGAGGGGGAACGAGTCCCACACGTGTCATCCTGGGGTCTCCTGCAGGCTGGGAAAGGAGGGATGGGGTTTTGGCAGGAGGTCAATAGAGAGAGGAAAGCAGCAATCACATAGAGCCCATAAGGAGCACTGGCAGCGCTCTGAATGACTTCAGTAGGAGTCAGGCTTAGGAACACGGACAAGGATTTACTCCCAGAACCTGGGACAGCTGAATATGGGAACATACAGGAGAAGAAAACCCAGAGAAATCACCATTAAAAGGCTGAATTCAGTTTGACATGTCAAGGTAAATTTAGCTTTCCAAACTCCATTTAAGGACCAAGTTTGTGGGGAGATGCTAAGCCCCTGCGAGACATCCTTTTGAGCTGTATTTATAAAGAAGCCAAGCATCTTTCCCACATTTAACACAGAACAAATTATTTTCTCCCCAGGTCCCACACACCTTCTCCATTCCTTTGAGCCCTGCTGCCAGGTCATCAATTTTCCCATTTCTTTGTTCCACCTGCACATCCCTCCCCTGTCTCCCACTCCCTCCTGTCACTGCACAGCACAGCACTGACCTCACAGCTGTGTCTCACCCTCCTTCCCAGCCTTACATCCCCACACCAACAGATGCTGCTTTTGGAAAAACTCCTTTCTGTCCTCAGTGCACTTTCACGTGAGGAACAGCTGCTGGGTTTGTTTGCTCGGATCCCTCCAAGATGAGGAATTATATAAACTCCATTACATTCTCCTAACATGAAGAAGTTAGGAAGGAAACAAAAGTCAAAATGACTTTGAAAATCCACAACTTGCTGAAAAAAGAGTTGTGAGCAAAAATCGTGTATCAAAAACTCTCTAAACCTTGTCATATCTTCAGCCACATGCTTCCTTCTCACAAAGCAGATCATCAACCTTCCAGCAGCACCAGATTGTCCTATACTGCCTTTACGTGCAGAACGGATACACTTCCCTACCTCCGTATGTTCAAATGACTAATAATAGTCCTCTGGTGTAGCAGAGCTGAATGAATGTCATTCCCATCGATACATCCAGGAGTCTCCCTGGGTATAAAGGTCATTTGTGGAGGCAGGATGCTACCAAGACTACAAAGGCCATCTATGAAACTCAGCTAAAACCGGGAATAAACAACAGCCGTCCAACCCCGAGCTGCGTCCCACCACGAAGGAGAGTGGGCTGTGTTTGCTGGGATACGTCTGCATCCCGGTGCTGCAGAAACTTTTGTCTATGCTGGTGAGCACAGCCAGTTCTGTGTCAGCCCCGGTGCCCAGATGAGGGGCTCCTGGCACAGCTCGGTGCCACACGCAGGGAGGACATCGCGGCAGCTGTTCTGTGGCAAAGCCCTGCTGTCACAGCCCTGCTGTCACACTTTGCCAAGGAACGGGGGAGCAAACGCTGGGAGAAGTTGGAAGGAGGCTCTCCAACTCCTTAAGTCAACTCCCAGAGAAAGGAACTTTGCAGTAAGCGCAAACTTGCAGACTCCTTTTGCAGGAGGACGAGGCGCACGCCATAAACGCTATTTGTCTCCTTTCAACAACCTCCAGCTGGCCAAAATCCCGGACATCCCCAGTTCCCATATTGCATAACAGTGCCCGGGCGGCAGCGGAGCCGCCACCGGGACGGGGCCCACACGGGGCCAAGGTGCCCCGCGCCGGGACCGCCCTTGGGGCGCCCGGGGGGCGTCGGGGCCGGGAGCGGGCAGGGGGCGGCCAGGAGAGCCGGGGGGCAGGAGGGCGGCGGGGGCACAGCGCCGCGAAGGGCGCCGGAGGGCAGGAGGACGGGGAGGGCAGGGCAGCACCGCGGTACCTTCTGCTGCCGGCGGGCCATGTCGGTGGGCTGCTTGGCGTTGAAGGGGTAGGCGATGCAGCGCATGACGAAGACGTAGAGCTGCAGCTTCCTCTTCCTCTCCTCCTCCTCGCGCTGCAGCCGCTCCAGCTCATCCTTCTCCTTCTCGCTGGCCACCGACGGGCTGGGGCTGGCGGGCCGAGCCGCTCCCCCGGCGCGTCCGCCCGGCTGCAGCCCTCCGCCGCCGCTACCGCCGCCTCCGGGGCCGGGGCCGGGGCTCTCGCCGGGGCGGCTGGGCGAGAGGCGAGCGGCGGCGGGAGCCAGCGGCTCCTTGCCGCTCTCCTCCTCCACCAGCTCCTCCGACTCCTCCTCGCTGGACGACGGGTCCAGCATCTCGGCGGTCGAGGCCGGAGCTAGGGCTACCTCGGCTCGCTCGGCGCGGCTCTGCCCGGCTCCGCTCGCCGCCGCGCCCGCGCGCGCCCCCGCGCCGCCCCGCCCTCGGCCGGCCCCGCCCCTCCCCGCGCCGCGCGCACGGCTCGGCGGGCGCTGGCCGCGGTGCTGCACGGCTCGGAGCGGAAAGGAGAGGAGAGGAGAGGCGGGAGCGCCGCGAGGGAGGGAGCGCGCCGGAGGCCCCGTTGCGCATGCCCGCTGGGGGCCGGCGAGGTGCGGCCGCCGCCATGGCGCTTGTCTCAGAGGGGCCGAGAGGAGGCCGCGCTCTGCGCGTCCCCACGGCCACACGCTGACACCACAGCGTCCTCACGGCCGTACACCGGCACCACAGGGTCTCCACAGCCACACACGCTGACCTCGCGGCGTCCCCATGGCCGGCACGCAAGGTCGCGCAGGTCGTGTGCCCATAAATGATGCTGAAGGTCTTTTCCAGCTTTGGTGCTTCTGTGATTCTATGACAGAGTGACTGGGTTGGAAGACAACGTACAGAGCATTGATGGGCTGATCCTAGATCGGTCTGCCCAGGGCCCCATCCAACCCAAATCATTAATTAGCACTGAGGGACGTGGTTAATGAGCATGGTGAGGACGGGTCCCCAGTTGGACTTGATCTGCAAGATCTTTTCCAACAGTTACGATTCTATGATTTGAAGAGCTAGACAGATTTCCAGGAGCAGCTTTTGGGGATGAATCAGTGAAGACACCGCGTGTGTTTGATACTTTAATTTTTGGTGCTTTCCAGATCTGATTGAGGCTTTGTTTGCTTATACATGCGTGTTTGTGGTGGGTGGCTGCTTTCAAAGTTTGTTTCTTTTTCTGCTTAATTAGTAGTGCTTCCACTGGAAATGTCAAAACAGCCACCACCTGTTCCACATGTTGGTAAATGGCTGTCACTTCTCAGAGGAGGCAAACACTGATTCTTGGCCATGGGGTGTTTTGCTTGGCCCCTGAGCTCTTACATCACTAATGTGGTGACAAGAACATCTCGAGGATCTCATCCTTTGCAAAGTTCTTTTATTTTTTTTTAATTTTGCATTTTTTTATATACTATCCATCAAAAAATTTCTTATTGAGTCCATTTGTGCCAACTGAAACAAAACAAAACAAAGCAAACAGAATTAGTGTCACTGGTGTCTATAATGGTGTATGTAATTCCACAACAAGAGTTTGGGATTTTCAAGAAAAAAATGTGTTTCTTGTATTGGAGAATGAAGGCATTTTTTCCCATAGGCACAGTCCCTCGTAGTTTAGGGAGTAGATGTTTGAGAGCTGCATCTCCATGTCTTCCCTGTCCCAGATGTGACAGCAATGAAACTAAGATGATCAGAGGAAAATAGGACCATTTTTTTATGAAAGGTTTTCTCTCAGTGGTGAGTTTTGATGTTTGGTTCAGTGGCTGAAAGTACTGAGAAGAAATGGAATCATTGGGAATAAAAGCAGCTGGGAGTGACAGAAGCAACTTTTGCTGGTAGGAACATCACAGACATTGCCTATCTTTCGTCAGAGACAGATTGACTCTTCTGACAGATTGTCAGAAATGATTTCTTAAATTAATTGATGCAAAATAGATACACACAATTGCTTCCCTCCCTTCTTCCAAAAAATGTTCTTCTTTGGGAGCTTTCAGAATTATATTTATCTTTTAGTGGGTGAGATTTTGCTCACTGGATAATTTTGAAATTGGATATGCTTGACAGGGTCTGGCTAGACATCAGGCAAGGATTAGGTAAGGTTCATGGGAAGTGCTGCTGGTCCAACGAAGCAGGGACACACGCCCCTTACAGCAATTGTCCTGGTTGTTGTATCTGAGCATTCAGCATCAATGTTTTTTTTTTTTTTTTCCTATATAAAGGAAAGAACAAAGTCAAAAAATCTCAGGCCTCTTACTTTCTGTTTCCAAATGCCATCAGGCATTGTTATCCAGAGATCTGCACATGCCCAACTCTCTCTGAAACATCTCCCAGTCACAGCTGTTGACATCCTGCTACAAAGCAGCACTACTGTAGCAGTGCCAACTGCAGGAAGTATCCCCTTTGATGGCAAAAAAGGAGTAGGACTTTCAAATCTTTCAGTGTCAGCCTCACTGCACCCATCTTTTTGACACTTTTGCAGGAGCTAAGGTGGGTTTGGGAATTTGGGAGATCCTAATCTGCACCCCATCTCCAGTTCCATTGCTGCAAGGGTGGCATGACGACCTTTTCCCTCAAAGGGAACTGCAAGGTCTCCTGTTAAAAATAAAATGGCATGGAAACCCCAAATTTTGCATCAAAAAGCATGGCTGGAGACAGCTGCATGAGCCAACAAAGCAGCCTCACTGTAGGCACTGTTGTCTGCATCACACGGGAAGAGAACAACATGAGTGGAGCCATCATGGAAATTATGTGTGTGTAACTTCCAGTGAAAATATTTCATTGTGGGTAATTGTGTAATTACCCATTATGAGTGGGTTAATGTAGACAAATGAGAGCATTAGCTAAGCCATTTCTGATATTATACTGGTGTGCATTTCTGTTTGTCCAGGACATGGTTTGGGTTAAGAGGATGCAGAATGTTGGGCAGTTTGCTTTCAAGATGCAACAGAATTGCAAAACCCAGGGCTCTTTCTGGCCTCTCACTTCACAGCAGGCTCCAGATCTGCCCCTATCTATTTGTTCCCAGCATCATGAATTAATTGCTTCTTCTGAAACACGAATAATTGCCTAATGATTTCCAGAGTGCCTACTTTTCCATCTCTTTTGCATCTTCCAGTAAGAGGAAATGCACCCTGTGTGGAAATACCTGAACTCTGTGCCTGCTCCTGATTACAGGACAAATAGGGAACAGCACATGCAGATGCACCTGGAAGTACCTGCACCATCCCAGGAGGAAATAATGCTGCACACCTCTCATGGCTGGAGCCTGGAGATATCAATTGGCCTCCGATCTTGGAAGCAGCACAGGCTGATGGATATTTGAAGTATTTTGTGAATGTTTCAAATTTATTTCCATTTTGTACAGCGTAAAATGGAAGAGTCTGCTGATACTAGAAGAAATCACTGCTGTAGCATTTGTATTCCTCTCCGTTTATTCCCATTAGATGGGAGGAATCTGTGTAGGTAATTATTTGTAGAAATGACTGTAAAGAAAAGCAGAGCTGAAGCCGAGGCCTCAGCATTGCAAAGGCCGTGCCTGTGTACAAGGCACTGCCACATACTGCCTTTGAACTCAGGCTGGCAGGACAGAACTGTGTGGAAGAGACCCTCCAAAAGAGTAAACTTCATTTATAGCTACCACTTGGGAGAGCTTAACTGAATGGCTCCCACAGGGAGGCTCACGTTTGCATGAAAAACAAACAAACCCGCTCTCCTTTTATTAATCTCTGTGCCAGGGCTGAGCCTGTATGTTTATGAAAGCTGGAAGCAGTTAGCACCTTTGTAAAACATGCATGCGCCAACTGCAGCAAGTTATGGAGATGGTCTAGGAGAGAAAAGAGAGGAAAGTGCATCCCTTGTGCTGTTTACTACATCAACAGCAGTCCCCCTTTAGGCACATGAAGTCCCTTGCACTGCACATAACAGTGGGACTGGAAAGCAAGGCGTGCTGCTGCTGCTGCTGGGTGCACCTAATGGCTGCAGCTCTGCACCTCATGCGCTGCTACCTCCTGTCCAGCTCCGACGTTTCCAGACAAAAGTGCCTTTCTGCCTGCAGGAGGCAGTGCTACAAGGTGTGAGGGGCCTTGGTGGGATGCAGGATGAGCTGATTTCGAGTGGTGAAGACATGGGCATGGTGCTGCCCAGTGCCAGCCCCTGAGCAGTCAGACATTGCCTGCGGGCTGCTGCTCATAGCAAGTCCAGGAGTCACACATCTGTGAGCATTTGTTCTGGCTGTAGCTCACCATGGCCCCGGCCCTTTGGCAGTGTGCCGTCAAAACTTGGAGTAAATGTTTGCTCAGCTGAGCCTCTCGTTTTGGAATTGTAGATTTGTGATGCAAGTCTGGATTTTGTATAGTAGCAGGTGACACGGGAGGGAAAACAAAGAGCCAAAAGAGATGGCCAAAAGTCTGCCTAAATACAGAAAGATCTCCCAGCTCATTCAAATGGGAAAATTCAGCACAACTGAAGAAGAAGAGGAAGCGCTGAGGGCCAGCCTTGCTTATGCTGTGCTACAGGTAGTAAATGAAGTCCTCATTTACTACCTCTTCCTGAGGACTTGCTGTGATGTCCTTGGATGCTCACAGTGAGGACCTGGATGCTGTGCTCTTTGCAGCTGGGTACATTACAGAGCAGTGCGAGCAGGAGGTTCCAGCAGCACGTCCTTGGTTCAGGCATAAATAGAGTCTGGTCTGCAGCTACAGAATGCCACAGTGAAACACTGCTGCTTGGTGCTAATGCTAATTTACAGGAGGGAAAGAGAAATCCTGGTATGACTGAGGCTCCGGTTGTTTCACGGTTTCCTAAAATAGAACAGAAAACAATCCCCGTTTCTTGGTAACAGTGTTATATAGATTACTGTGCCTCCCAAACAGAAGGGCTTAAAACGGTGCTCTTTTCACCCCTTTGTGCACACTCAGCTAATATTTACATTGGGCTGCTGGCTGCAGCAGGAACAGGTGAGGGCAGGGAGGATGCTGGCCTTGTTCAAGCTCTCGACACAGTGATGTGTGATGGGGAAGGTAGCACAGCAGACTGGCTGTGGCAGAGGCATGCCTGGCTCTTGCACTGGCCCCAGCTGCATCTCAACATTCCTCATGCTGTTACATTCACTCAACCCCCTCCCTGCCCTGTGCATGGATCATTACGGCAAAGGGCTCCCTGATTTACAACATGGGCAGTATATTTTGTCTGTCTTTTGCAAGTTGTTATTCCAGAGGGCAGCCTTCCATCTCCTTCATGGTGGGGCAGGTGGCTCATGATACAACTGCTTCACTGCAGACTTGTGCTGGAAGAGGACCTTAGGGACAGCACT